TGTGTTTGTGTGTGTTTTTTTTTTTAAAATTTTTTTTTTTTTTTTTTTTTTTTTTTTAGGACTCATGTGCTTACCTGAGAGAGAGAAAACGTGAGAAAGCACCCTCAGGGAGGATAGCCACACCATAATCCCTTCTCCATTCTCCTTGGGATCTTGGGCACATATGAATACATGCCCATTGTATTTTTCAAGCCTCCAGATCCAGGACTTGAACTCCATAGTTAGCCACGTAGGATCCAGTTGCCTTAACCACTACTCCACCTGGCTGACACTGTCATAATTTTCTTAAATGCATGAGATTTTTCACATACTTTAGAGTTCACTTCAGAATTTTAGAGGCTGTAAACACACGTGTATCTAGGTGCTTATGCACCTTCAGTTATTTGAGGTGAGGAACAAGTACAAAAGAAATGCATGTTAGGTAAGATTTGCACTTGTCATCCAGTTCCCCAAATCTGGTAGCCAATGCACTTATTTTTTTCAGAATTAATTAATTTTATTTATTATCATCACTATTTTTTAATTTGCTACAGGGCAGGTGTGCTTACCTGAGAGTGAGCAAGACACACACACACAGAGAGAGAGAGAGACAGAGAGAGAGAGAGACAGAGAGAGAGAAGGAGAGGGAGAGGGAGAGAGAGAGAGAGAGAAATCAAGCCACTATGTCCAGGACTCAAAATATAGTCAGCCATTTGAGAGTCCAGTGCCTTAACATCCATGCCACCTCCTGCTGGCTCTGTCAATACCCCTTAAAAAATATTCTTTCTCCTTATATTTCTCAGTCAGAATGGAAGACAACATTTAAAAATAGGCTGCAGTATTTATTTATATAAATATCTATGGCCAAACTACCAACCAGAAAATATCCAAGCTGATGATGTGTGGTCGAAAAAGTATATATTACCTATTGTCAAATTATGAATCAGAAAATCTCCAGGACTAGTCCATAGCCTAGTGATTTGAATCCTGACCCAGCAGCGAGAGAAACACATCAGGCACTTGTGTATGTGTGCCCCAAATCCCAGTGGGATGGAGAACTGGAGGAAAAAGAATTGTGGCGTGACCATGCCCCATTGGGAGGTTGCTTTCTTCCTCCCTTCTCTGTTTCTCTCTGGTGAGCACATGTGTATTTGGAAAATTTTTAAAAATAATAGTAATAAAGGAAAAGAATAATAGTAATTTTAAAAATAATAGTAATAAAGGAAAAGAAAAAAAGAAAATGCCTAAGCTGGCAATGTGTGTTGAAAAGGTAGGTAATGCCTATGGTCCGACTATTAAGTTGTCAGGAAAGTCATGATGCATACTTCTATGTAAAAATATGTCATGACTTTCCAGACAACCCAATGTAGACCAGAAAATGTTCAAGCTGATGATATGTGGTTAATGTGCTTGGTACCTTGACCATAGGCAACCCTAGAGATTTGGTCTTGATAGAGCAAGCGTAGGTTTAGATATCCAGAATTGATTGCTGTGAGACTTATTCTACCCAAGAAAATTCAGCTTTGAAGAGTTTTCCTTTCAGAGAGTGGAGTTCCCTAATTAAGGTGGGTTCTCTCAGTAACTGTGAAGGGGGATTAGAACTGTTGCCAGGTGTGAATGAGGATCCTGCATAGAGGCTGGGGAGGTGGGGGGCGGAGATCCTCGGTGGTCCCTTCTGATTTTAGATGCTCGTGTAGTTCCATAGGCAGAAGTAGATTAATAGTCTGTTTGAGGCCAGATCTAAGCCTCCCAGACCTAGGGTGGGAAGTGTAAACTGAGAGACCAGATAGATCACAGTCTCTGCTCTCACTGGCCTGGGGCTCCCCTCCCCAAGCCAAGAACTTTCAACAGAGAATGAATAAGCATGTAATATCTGGAGCTATTCTCTTTTCCTCCATTATCGGCAAGTCTAACTGGGAAATTACCTTGCCAAATTAAGAGCTAACATACTGCAAGTTTGCTGTTGTGAAGACATTTAACACCAATCTTTCAAGAGAAGATCCTAAGCAATTTTGTTAGTATTCAATAATTAAGGACAAGCTGAGATAGATACAGGACAGTCAAGATCAAAGAGAGTAGTTGTTGGAAACATCTATATGTTTAATGCAAATAATGTTTGGTTTATTAATGATAGTAGAAGCCCAGAGAAGTTGGTCTTTTAGCTTAGAGCCGCTGCTTTCTTAGAAGAGAAAATTTTGCCCACAAAGTCTTCATAAGACCTCATCATTGGGACGGGCAAAGCAGAGTTATTTAAAATTAAATGTATTGTGTTTGTAGATTGAGAATCTGAAACTCCTCTACATTCTTGAATGTCCTACTTTACTTGTTTGCGGATAACATTCCGTTAAGGAGTTATAGAAATAGCTCTGTGTGGATCCTAAACATGTCCGAGTGGAATTTTTCAATGGCTTGACCCAATCTACAACAGATAGCCATGCAAAAGTGAGGGGACTTCAAAAAGTTTGTGGAAATATGAAATGAAATAGAAGTTTATTTGGTGCAAAGAATTTTTGAAATCCATACACAGTTATTTCATAATATGCATTTTCCATGAACTTTTTGGAGACTCACCTTCATCTCTAGCAGTACATAAAAAGTGGATATATGTAAAAACTATTTCTACTTAGTATTTTAGGACAATTAAATACAAGCAGAAAATGGATTTTGGCAACTAATACTCACCAAGATGAAAAATCAAGGTCAGTTGAAATCGCATTCTTTTGTCAGGAAATGATTAAATTCAATTCTGTTATGTGAAAGAAAAGTTTAAAGTCAGTCACGGATGGAATCAATCATTGCTCTGACCATGCCACCTGCTGGCCCCTACCACATAAAAGCCCTGAAATTTGTCTATTGGTTCTTATTCATTAAAGATACAAAATACCTGTAATATCTAATTCCTTAAAAAATAAGATACAGGGATCAGCAGTTGGCATAATGGCTATGTCGCTGGACTCCCATGTAGTCAACCATGGTTCGAGTCCTAAACTTAGTGGCTTAAACTCACGCCGGGTGCGTAAGCATGTGTGCCCAAGATCCCAAGAGGAGAATGGAGGAGAAGAGATTGCGGTGTGTCCATCCCTCCTTGGAGGGGGAGGGGCGTGATTTCTCACTTTCTGTCTCTCTGTTTCTCTCTGTCTTTCTGGCGAGTATACATGCCCTATAGCAAAAACCTTTCAAAAAAAAAAAAAGAGTGCATAAAATCTTCTTTAATTTTCCAGGGATTGTGTATGCGTGCATGCAAGAGAGAGAGAGAGAAGGAGAGATAAAGTGAGAAAGCACCCCTCATGAGGGATGGTCATGTCACAATCCCTTCTCCATTTTTCCTTTCGGGATTTTGGGCACGCAGGCACTTGTGCCTGATGTGTTTCTCAGGCTCTTGGATCCAGGACTTGAACTGCACAGTTGGCTATGTGGTATCCAGCCACCTTAACCACCACACCACCAGCTGGCCTGAGAATATAAAATTTTAATAAATACAAAGTGTCCTTAAAAATGTACATTATGAGAAAACTATGCATGGATTTCAAAATCTTTTTGCACCAAAATAAACTCATACTTTAATTTCTCCACAAACCTTTTGAAGTACTTTGAATCTGTTTGCTATTAATATTTGCTATTCTTTTTTCTTTTTTTTTTGGAGAGATTTTCACTATAGGACGCGTGCGCTCACCAGACAGACAGAGAGAGACATTAGAGACAGAAAGCGAGAAATCACCCCCCAGGGGGGATGGTCACACTGCAATCCCTTCTCCTCCATTCTCCTCTCGGGATCTTGGGCATGCACGCACACGTGCCCGGCGTGAGTTTTAAGCCACCGGGTCCAGGACGCGAACTGCGGTAGACTACGTGGGAGTCCAGCAACATAGCCATTATGCTAACTACTGGCTCCCAATATTTGCTATTTTTGAAATGATAGAATTCAATAGTTTGTAGGAAGAAAAAACAAATGTAATTTCCTTTGCATGTTTTAATTTTTTTGAGAGGTTTTTTGCTATAGGGTGCATGCGCTGGCCAGAAAGAGACAGAGAGACAAAGAGACAGAAAGAGAGAAATCACCTCCCAGGGGTGATAGCCACGCCACAATCCCTTCTCTTCCATTCTCCTCTCGGGATCTTGGGCATGCATGCACACATGCATGGCCTGAGTTTAAGCCACTGGGTCCAGGACTTGAATCATGGACGATTACACGGGAGTCTGTGACATAGCCATTACGCTAACTGCTGGTCCCACATGTTTTAATTTTAACATATGTTGGGCTCATTCTTATTTAGAAACTTTTTTCTAAAAAGTTACACAATTAATACACATTTTTTATAGAAAAAGTAGAAAAAGTCAGACAGGTAAATGAAGAAAATTTCCCCTGTAGTACCAGTTTCCGGAGAATAACAGTTAACACCGTGCTCTACGTTCTTTCACCCTTCTTTGTGAACTATATATAGTTTCCCAAAGTGATCATTTTGTACTAACAAGTGCATTTAAAAAGAATGAAAGAAGGTGTGTGCACTTCACAGAGAGAGAGAGAGAGAGAGAGAGAGAGAGTGAGAAAGCACTCCCTTATGGAGGATGGTCACACCACAATCCCTGCTTCATTTCTCCTTCTGGGATTTGGGGTATGCATGCACACATACCTAGTGTGTTTCTCTAGATACCAGGTTCAAGATTTGAACCATGGAGTTGGCCACGTGGGCTCTAGCTGCCTTAACCACCATGTCACTGGCTAGCCCACAAGTGCATCTTAAAACTGATTCTTTTTTTTTTTTTTGCATTTATAACTGATTGAATTTATTTTATTTTATTTTTTTATTATTATCATCATCATAATCTTCTTTATATTACATTGGATTACATATAACTTTACAGTGTATTACATTGTTTTTTCAAAAGGGAATGCCATGCATGTCCGTCAGTACAGAGGCATTAATCTCCCCACTTCAACATTCAATATCTTTTCTATGTTAAAACTGATTCTTTAACCTAGTAAGAGACATCAGGATCTGTGGGAGGCAAAGCTGTGCCTCTCAAGAGAGCTGCCAAGAGATTCTCTCCATTTCCAAGGTACTATTATTGGAACCCCGATATAAATGAGAGTACCCATGAGAGTACCTCAGTGGGTTGGGACACTGGGTTGGGAGCTGAACTTCTTTTCTGTACCAGTATCTTTTTTTGTGTGGCCATAGGGTGCATGCATTTGCGGGAGAGAGACAGAAACAGAGAGAGAAAATGAGAAATTAACCCCCGAAAAGGATGGTCACACCACAATTCTTCTCCTCCATTCTCCTGTTGGGATTTTGGGCACACACACACACACACACACACACACACACGCTCTGTGTGTTTTACAGGCTACCAGTCCAAGACTTAAACTGCAGAGTCAGCTATGTGAGATCCCGTGTCTTAACCCCCATGCTACCTGCTGGCCCTGCACCAGTATTTTTAACTACTGTAAGTATTCCTTTGAATGCAGGAACAAGAATTTTTTAAATAAATTTCCTAATGAGTAATGTATACTTTGTTGCTAATATTTTCTTGTTATAAATATTTCTGTTAAATCCTTGTTCATATTCTTAATTATTCTCTAGGATATATAAAAGGGGGTGTAGTTAACAGGCCAAAGAATGTATATCTGTGCATGTGTGTGTACAGACATGTAAAGAATATATACACACCCATGTATGTTCCCATATACAAACACAAGTGTTGTTCAAAAAGTTTATGGAAAGAAGTTTACAAAAAAAGTATGCATGGTTTTCAATATTTTGACCCAAAATAAAGTTGTACCTTAGTTCCATCTTTCCACAGATTTTTGTTTGTTTGTTTGTTTTTGAGAGGATTTTGCTATAGGGCATGTGCACTCACCAGGAAGAGAGAGAAAAACATAAAGACAGAAAGCAAGAAATCACCCCCCAGGGGGATGGCCATGCCACAATCCCTTCTCCTCCATTCTCCTCTTGGGATCTTGGGCACACATATACATGTGCCTGGTGCGAGTTTAAGCCACCAGATCTGGGACTAGAACCGTGGTCAACTACATGGGAGTCCAGCAACGTAGCTGTTATGCCATCTGCTGGTACCTCCACAAATTTTTAAAATAAGTTTTTATTCATTAATTTTCTCCATATGATAGAGCTAGGGTGGGAGAGAGAGAGAGAGACAGCACCCCTAACAGGGTCTTGACCCCACAATTCACTGCCAGTTTTTTACCACATGGGATCCAGCTTCCTCTGTGTAGCGCCTCACTGCCATACTACCAGGCCAGCCTGAATGCTCAAATTTGAGAACCACTGTCTTAGTAACTCCCAAGTCCTTATGCTGTGAAGATTGGGAGCTGCTGCTGCTCCTCTGGATGGCAGCCAGAACTTGAGGAGAACCTACTCTGCAGCAGGAGCAGGGCTGACTGTGTGGCTGGGCGGTCCCTTGGCTAGACACTACAGGGCCAGGCTGCAGTGGTGTGGTGCAGGAACAATGTTTGTGAGTGCCTGCAGACATTTTTGGCTGTCATAATAGAAAAGGAGGATGTTACTGGCATGTAGAGTGTAGAAGCCAGGGATTCTACTGAAGAAACATTCTACAGCACACAGCACAGTCCGTGTCCCCACCACAGAGGATTATCCAGACCCAAATATAATCTTGCTGAGCCTCAGAAACCCTGCAAGTGGCATAGGTGCCCCTAACTGTGGGCTTTATCACCCCATCCTTTATTTCTAAAAATTGCTCACTTATCTCCTTCCAGTTTTATCTTTTCCATTGTAGGTAACCTAAACCTCAAAATGGAAGAGTGTTATAGTCATTCCGGCAACTTTTGGAAGGCCCGTGATCTGAAATAGCCTACCCAGTCATTATAAACCCACAGCTGCACATGCAACACAATGCCAGGAGGTGTGATAAGCCCATTCGTACTTCTTCATCGAGCTATAAACTTAACTGGTGCTGCTTTTGTGGCTGCTTTACCTGAGCAGACATTTGTGAAGCCTTGCAGGGTCTACATGACCTTTTTCTTCCTTGCTAGAGTCATGGGTGAGAATGAGTGATATGTATATGGATGGGATTAACAAACCTAATATTATCCCTGCTCTGAATGAAAAGCATGTAAATGTATTTCCACAGGCACCAGATGCATGTTTGCAATTGCTTAATGATTGCTGCTAGATGATACTGGCCTTAGCGTGTATTAAGTGTTGCAATAAACAGTGAAATATATTAAGGTGACTGTAACTACTGGCATTGGTCATTGATTTTAACTTATTGACCGTTCAATGACATTGCCTCGTCTGTCTTTACTTGAAGGCTATACCTTGTCCAACATCCTGCCAGAATTTTCCTTCTTTTTGTTTTTTTGAGAAAAATTTGGATGAAACAGATGAACATAGAAGGGTATAGAATGCCAAATTCTCCAGCTCCCAGACCCACAGGTAGAAATAGTATTTGATAAAAGTGGCTCCAGCACTGTTCCGTTCTGCAAATTAGACAGTCCTGTATTATGCAGAGCATCATTAAAATAAATAGATTTATATTAGTCCATAAGACTTTTTTGGCATGTTTAAAATGTGTAATTTTTTTTTTTTTTTGGAGAGATTTTCACTGTAGGGCACGTGCACTCGCCAGACAGACAGAGAGAGACATAGAGACAGAAAGCGAGAAATCACCCCCCAGGGGGGATGGTCACGCCACAATCCCTTCTCCTCCATTCTCCTCTCGGGATCTTGGGTACTCACG